TATCTCTTAATGGTGTTTTCCTAGTCCAGAGGATGAACAGAGTATCTCACAGAGTACCTCTGTGTCTAACACACATTTATCCAGTTCTACCTTCTGTCACTATCATATTTTCTGGAAAAATCCCTTTGCCCAGGATTCTTCTCCTGGGAAGCTGAGAAGCCTCAGTGAAAAAGGAAAACAATATTATCTCATTTGCTTCTCCTGTGTTTTGCTGCTTTGGAATGTGTTTGGACATTGTTTGCCAGCAGGTGATTGTTCATTGGTTTCTGCTGTGAATTGTTTTGACTTAATGACCAATCATGGTCAGGCTGTGTCGGGGCTCTGGAAGGAGTCATGAGTTTTCATTATTATATTTTTAGCCTTCTGTATCCTTTCTGTATTCTTCAGTATAGTTTAGTATAGTATTCCTTAATATAATATAGTATCTTAAAATAATAAATTAGCCTTCAAGAACATGGAGTCAGATTCATCATTCCTTCCTGCCATGGGGCAGCCCGCAAATACAATAACCCACATTCCTGTTGGTATAATGGTGTCAATGGCTGTGCCAGTACCATCCTCTCCCACAGGTTTATAGTGACCTTGCAGAGGTCTGGATTTAGGAACAATTCAAACTGACTGAAAGCAGAGGCAGCCAAGTGTCACAGTTTCAGTAGGATATAAAGTAATGTCGATTTACAGGAAATCAGAATATTACTCTCTTTCAGAGTAATCTTGAAATTCATAACTGTATACTAAAACATGTTTCTTGGTAGTAGAAAATCTTCTCCAAAACCTTTCCTTCTGCCTGGGGTCTTAAATTCGCTGCTTCATTCTTCAGGTTCTGGGCCCCTTGCTGTGATTCCAGAGCTGTGGACTCACCCCCTGCAATTCTGCATCAAGGGGTACTGGGAGAAGCAGCTGATGCCCTTGCAAGGTCAATCTGCCATTTTTGAGTCTGTGGAAATCCAGCTACACAGATACAAACAGGGGTGCTCAAGAACTTTCACTAAATTAAATGTCTCAGCATCAACACGATTCTCTCCACTGCTCACTTAACACATATTCAGACCTCTTCCATTTTAAAATCTGAAATAGGCCTCTGAGTGGGAGTATTTCACACATCCAGAATGAAAGTCATATACCGGATTTATGAGATTGAAAGTCCATTTCATCTGAATAGTTCAACCAGGACAGCCCTGCTCTTTCCTGGGAGGTTATTTTTGCTTCTGGCTGCGCTTAAATACTGGAGTGGGGTGGGCAGTGAAGGGCTGAGAAGCAGAAACACACTTTTAACCCTCTTTTCTTCTTCAGAGAGCACTTCTCAGCTCCTCAAGCATCACCTGAACTGCCCCCATCTCACTAAGGAGGCTGCTGGCACTGGCACACGCTGCAGGCTACTGGCATCACTGGTGGAGGGAAAGCAGCAGCACTCGATCACCTTGGCACATAAGTTCTCCATATTAAAAAAACCCTACAACCCATCCCTTCCCCCCACAATGAAAACCAGGATGCCTCAGACTGTACAATAAATTTTATATATATATATATAAAATATTGGTAGATATCGTTATATATACAAATAAATTGTTAATAGTAGAGGCAGGAGGTTGTTTGTTTGTTAGGGTTTTTTAAGGGGTGTCTTAGATGCCAGGGGGCTTCTTTCTGTTTTTTAAACCAAAGACCCTGCACACACCTTCCCCTGGGTTTAGCAGGCCTCATCAAGGTTACTAAGTAACCTTGAGTTGTATTCAGCCTTTCTACTGTTTTTTTTGAGAAGGAAATTGAATCCCTCCCATGTTTGAGAAGCCTAGCTTTCAGTTTAAATAGGATTTTTCAAGTATTAGCATATCAAACAGTATAGTTGACAGCATGCAACATAAGATTAGCACGTTTTATTTTTTCTAAGTCTTAGCTTCCTTCTGTCCTGCTATTTTGCATTTTTACTGAGAGCAAACCAAAGGCAAGCTTGGTAGCCATCTGCAGGAGCAAGACACAAGGTATATTTACACCACAGCTTCATTTGCTTTCAGGACTCAAAGCGTGGCTTTCATCCATGAACACTGCTGGCCCCCAGGAGATCTACAGGGCAACAACATTTCAGCCCTGGCCCCTGAAAATATTTACCAGTACTGAAGAGATGGATCCCAGAATGCCACAGAGGATGTTGGAAATGTTAAAGAAGCCAGGATCCTCTCCTGATCATAAATTGTTCAGGGGACATGCCAGGTCACATAGTATATTAAAAGGGACATGGAAATAGCAGCTCTGGCCCATCTCTGAATTGGCAGCAAGCAAAAGCAGTCGTAGACAGTATGAGTTTTAGAATCTACATTCTGCAGCAATATTTTGGGCTTTTAGGTATTATTTTAACATTTCGTTGCATATTTGATGAAAAGCTCACAAATTTAGTGTCAGTGTGGAAAGTGAAATAGTTGCATTGATTGTCTCAACATGTTTAAACACACTGAATGTAAACCTTGGTCACAGGTTTATTGTGGGCATGGATGTCAACGCAGACAGCCACTAACATTCCACAAACATAAATTGAGACAGAGTTCATAATTAAGGAATGATATATAGGATATCCTACATACACACACACACACACACACACACATATATATATATATATATATGTGTGTAGGATATAGGCCTCCAAAACTCATAAAAAACATAGTAGGGCTTTACCTGCTTTTTTAGCTATTACCACCTATATAGGTAATCCTTATATCACTCCTCTGACTATACCAGAACAAAAGTCCTCTGGTATAATTGTCATGAGAAAAGACAGGCTTAGGCAAATTACATTCATTTCTCAACCTCAATTATATTGCTAGGACTACTAGAAGCATTACTTCCTAAAAACCTCTCAAGTATGACATACATCATTACCTTCCAGGTATCCATAACTGCAGTCAGTGGAATGTTACATTACAGTGATGCCAAAGCTCCTTAATCAAGTTCTACTTTTCCTGCATTAGGTGATTCACTGGTTCATGAAAAAGCAGCTCCATTATGGAGCAAGGTCAGCTCCACAGTGCCCATGACAGCTCATTAAACTGTGTGGCACCTGCTACCCATCCACAGGAAAAACACCTCAGCTCTGAGGCTTAAGAAGCAAAGATTCCTGAAGAAAAACAAAAAGAAAAAAAAAATCACAACAGAAATGTAGCAGGATAGTTACCTCATCTGACATCAAGAGACTTCTAGCAAAATTAAAAGTGTGATTTGGCATTCCTTAAGTTGCCAGATAGACATCACCTTTACACTGGAAGGCAATTAGTGTCATTCATAATCAGTGTACCCAGAGTACTCTCAGGTGGATATGTCCCAAAACCACATCCCAAGTACGTACTCAGTTACACAGTTATACTGAGATCTCTATGAAATTTGGAGAAATAAAAGGAAAGCAATGTATGGACAGCCAGGGAAACTTCAAAATCTTTCAGAAGTTTCTGTCAGTTAGGTCTTTGAAATGAGTCTATTTCAAGATGTCAGACCTTTCAGTAGTTAGATCTCAAAATAATCTGCTTTGGATGTTCCAGAATAAGAATTTCTAGGTCTTTCAATTTGTCCAAATTCATATTTGATTATATATTCTCATCTGTTAGTGCATTTATTCACTTTTAATGCTCTTTATACTCCCCAAACAGGCAAAGTGGCATTTGAAATTTACCTGGTAGAATTTCACCTTTGTAGTCCCCTACCTGCTTTGAATGGAAAAAAAAAAACAACACAGGAGAGGAATCCAAATAATATAGTTTGATGTTTTTGGACCAAATAAAACTGTTCACCATTAAAGATACATTTCTGTTGATCCAATTCCAGATCAGTAGAATAAGACAGAACCAGATCTTTCCATTTCTTCAAGCTCTTATCTAAACGAAGGAAAGGAGTGCTTAAAGGTTGTTCTTCTCCCATTTACAGTGCTCCATACAGGGCTTGGACAGTTTTAACTGTCCAAGCCCTGTATGGAACACTGTAAATGGTTATGACAATTCTGGGATGGAAAAATGACTCTATGAAAAAGAAAACAGCAAGCATGACTGTAGTTATTTTCCCACCTAAACTTAGTTTAAAAAAGTCAGCCTTTCTAAAGAGATTCACAAGCTGAAACAAAAACCCTCTACATACGAAGACCCCCATTTGTTATCCAAACCAGAAAACTGGTGTAGCACTTGTGAATATACAAGTTTTCTCCAAGACAAACATTAAAAATACCCCACTAAGTTGTTCCAAAACATCTGTGTAAAGGTATTTATAACACTTGAGTGTTATGAATGTTCTGAATGTTCCAAAGTCATGTTCTTTGTTGCCCAGTTTTTAAAGATTCAGGTTTTTCAGCAACAATGGTTCCTTTAAGTAGCTTTGCAGATAGCTTTAACTGTGTCTGTCTGGGATGGAGTTAATTTTCCTTACAGCATCCCAGCCATACAGCTCTGTGCTTTGGGTTTGTGGATAAAGAGCGCCGATAACACACCAAAGTTTTGGCTAGAGCTGAGTAGAGTTCACACAGCACCAGAGGTGTTTTTTTCATTGCCTCTTCCCCCTTTGTGTCTGCCCAAACCTGCAGGCCTAGGCTGTGAGTGGTCAAGAAGCTGGAGGGGACACAGCAGGACAGATGCTCCCAGCTGACAAAAGGGCTATTCCATATGGGATCATGCCCTACAATAAAGGCTCAGGAAAAACAGAAAGGAAGGCTAATCAAGGTTATGGTGTTTATCTTCCTGTTGTAAACACCTGCCTGCTGCAAGGAAATAAATTTATTTTGTTTTGCTTGTGAACACAGCTTTGCTTCTTGTATTAAAATGTTTCATCCTGACCCAAGTTTTCTTGCTTTTCCCAGTTTTTCTTGCTTGTCCCAGTTCTTTCTACCATTCTACTGGGAGGGAAGAGCATATGAGCAATGGCGTGGGGGCTCACCTGGTGGCAGGGGCCAAACCATCACAAGAGCCCAAGTTTGGACTCAGTTATTTCAGTAGCTCAGTGAGACAACACTAATTCATTCACATATGGTGTTCAGCTTTCAGATACTCAAGTTTATTACAGACTTAACACAATAAAACATAGTATAAAAAAAGTAGATTGCAAAGTCTTCACATCATGGAATGCCAAGTTACAAAAATTGAAGTCATATCCTTGAAAATACATGAAAGCTAGTGGAAAAATATGGTGAGATAGAGAGAAAACTTGTGGGAGACAGGAAAGAAGGGGATAAAAATACTAAGTCAGTTAAAAAAAAATATACGTGATTCAAGCTTTTTAAATAGAAAATTTAATATCATTCTTTGAGTCAAACAATCCTGCCTAGAAACAGATTCTTAATGAAGTTAGGTCCAGATTTTGAACCTCTGAATAACAAGATCCCTTGTGCCCCAGTTAGCTTACGTTAACATAGCTTCTGTGTCCTACATGTCATTCCAAAATACCCTTTGACTTTAGAGTTTTTATCATGCTTTACTGGATAGATTGTTTGCTACACACTTACAAGAACATCTTAAGTTACAAAAATAGTTATCACTCATTAGTATTTCTATACATATCTCAAGCTATTATATGCACACTCTGTACATTGGATGTTAACAGCAGTTAAATTTGCTTCCTTAAAACAAACAAAAGAACTAAATCACAGTCAGTCAGACCCAAAATACTCAGGCACCATAATACACTTACATGTGTGGTACTAAACATCCCTGCCCATGCAAAGCAAAAGCAGTTCCAGTACCCAGGAAACACATGCATCCAAGTTGTGGGACCCTTGTGATGGCTGGAGGAGAGTATGAGGATCAGGATGTTATTCCACTGAACAGTCTCCCACTAGAAAAAAGGGCTCTCCACACGAAGTGTGCAGATCCCATGCAGACTGGTTTTCCTGGCCAACAGGCCTGCCTACCCATGGAAAAGCAGATTTACATGGCAAAAGCTGTAGGTAGCAGAACTACCCCAAAACACCCCTCTGGTAATGATCACACAATTCCAGAGCTAAATAAAATAGGAAGGTGACTTCTAAGTGGGACAAACACTGGGTGTTTGCCACTGCCACATAATCGTTCTCAACATCTTTTGGCTGAGATCTATTCCTCCTCCTTCCCTGGGCCAAAAGGAAAAAACTGAGACTTTTTGGTGTGACCAGGGCCATCACTAACAAATATTTTGCTGGTTGCAAGTAGTTCATTGCTGAAGTATATTGGTTGCACTTGCATTATTTATCCTTCCCTTTCAGTAGTGAAAAACCAGAAGCATTAATAGGGTTGTGGCATTTTATTAAACAGGCAGGTAAAAAGTTTAGTTCTTAGTTCTTAGAGGTGCCATTACTGGTCTTTCTCATCTCTTAACTCTACAAGTGCACTTCAGCTGACGTGAAGCTTCCTGCAGCTGCCCAACTCTGGAACAAGCCACCCATTTCAGAAGGGAACAGACAGATGTCTTGCTACAGATTAGGGGGGTGGGAAGAAAAACAAAACCACAACTACCACCCCTCAAAAAAAAAAGGGAAACCTTAAATGCTGAATAAGAAATAACACTGTTTCTCTTTTGACACTTCCTGAATATAGCAATTTCTCTCATACCACTCCAAGCACTATCCTTTCCATCATGAGGGCACAACACTTCAGTCAGGTTAAAGACCCTCATAGCTCAATCAAAGCACTTAGAGGTTCGGTGTTTAAATGGTTCCCTTTATAAACCACATGCTAAAAAGCCCAGGCATGTTTGCAATGCACTACTATGAAAAAAGATATTCACTTGCAGAACTGCAAGGACAACTTGAAGCAAAGTCAACTAAAACATGTACTCAAATCTGCCAGCACCAGGCTGCAAAATATAAACACTACAATGTTAATATCAAGGTCATGCACACATCAGAAGTGCATAAAGAACTTCAAAGTTACACCACAGAGGAAAAAGATACTTATGGTTTGTCTTCACAAAAGATTAGGAATTAAGCAACCATCCCTATGACATTGAGATGAGTAAAGAAATTATGAATTAACTTCTACAGGCTTTTTCCCACACCAGGAATTCAGGAATGTCAGGTATTTCATCTTTTAATAAGAGTGCTTCCCTTTAAAACTCTCAAAATAGATATTTGATGATTAGATCTTTGATGGTTTGGATCTTGGATGGTTATTTATTAATTATTTTATTTTTAAAGCAGTATATTTGAAATGTACAATAACTTTGTTCCCCAATGGTCAAATAGTCAACATTTTTATGCATTTAAGTGTTCCATACTTAAGTTATATTTTTGAAATTTTATAGTTATTTTAAACAGAATACATTAAGCTGATTTTCAATAGTGCCATTACAGTGCAACATCCAGACTATATTTCTTACTGTTTTAAGAAAAAACTATCAGAGCTTCCATTTTTAAGTGCAACAGGTTTTGGTAAAGGAATTGCTACAAAGTATTCAAGTGACAAGAATTCTACCAGAAATAAACACACTGCAATATCAGTATAAAGGTATTTGATAGTGTTTGAAGACCAGAGGAAGTTACAAGTGAAATATAAATCACTTCAGAAGACACATATAAGAAAAGGCAGGAAAAAAGTTTTACTTTTTCAAGTCAACTTTCTGGAGAGAATTGCATTTATTGATTTACAACTGAGCTGAAAGACTTGCCTTTTTTATTTTAAGATCAAGATAAAATGAATGCGAAAAACGAAAGGTCTGGCACTTGGATCTGTACCGATGCCTTGTTTACAAAGTCATACAAGTTAAGAGTGAGTTCCCTTGCTCCCTTAGCATGTTTCCAAGCTTGGTCATATAAAGCAAGTACAAGTTAACTATTCACAAACATATTACTTGTTTATCTGATGAAATGCTGTATTAAAATCAGTAGATAAATTTAAATACTTGCCTTATTTGGTTAGTAATATGCTGACAGCTGTGCAAGGGAATTGTAGCACTTGGAACCTTAAGCCTTTTATTCTCCCATTATTGACTTAATTTGTGAATTCAGTGGGATTTTTAACGTACAGTTTGTTTCTTAAGATGAGAACTCTTCATCATTCATTAAGTCTATCACAAATTGATGTTTAGATATCCTGGATGAAATAAACTGAGTTTTATCCTCTCTCTTCTGACACATACATGGAAAGAATAACTCCGCTCAATTATTTAATTTAAATCAGAGAATTCCAAGCACTTCATGCAAGGTTAAGAATCACAGATTTAACTATTGATTTAGCTCAACATATACACCAAAATTTCAAAAGCCAGTTTGAGTCTCAACACTGCATAAAGTGTAACTTCCCCCTGCCACGCTTATGCAAAAGCAGCATTCACTACTGTCACCTAATAATTTGATCATTGTGCCATTCCAGTTATTTTAGATTACTTTTCATCCTTGGAAGAAAAATTTGTTTTAAATCAATGTAACTATCTGCCTACAGCTGTTTTCTTCTTTTTCTATTTCGAAATCCACGAACAACAACCCCCAAACAAAAACAACATTCCAGTGTGTAGATATTTAAGCCTAGAGGAAAAGAGCCTGTGTCACTTGCTGGCAGACTTCAGTTCTGATATGATTTAAACTAGAATTCTCTCCTACTTGCCATTATCAGCATATCTTTCTACACCAGGTATCATGAGTTCACCTCTCTGCTTCCAGCCAGCTGCCCACTCTCCGGGTCTTTAGTTATCACCTGTATCTTTACAGGCTATCAGACAAGCTTATAAATGTATTTTAGCAGCTACAGGACTGAACCTCACCTAAACTCTAGAAAGGTAAGTCAATTGTGGACTAGTTTCCCTCATGACTGTGAGTTGTAATAAAGAATGCTTACTTTTAAGGGCCCAAAATCAAGAATAATCTTCAGAATCTAACTACAATAAGTCATCTCAACTGACTACTCCAGTTACAGAAGTTCTCTAAAGGCGAAAGATGAAGTTTTTATCTTATCAACAACTACATGAAACTGATATATGACAACAACTATATAACAGTTGAGGTTCCAAAGGTTTTCATAGACTCTGGAGCAATTGACATAGAGGAGGGGGGGGTTTATTATGGTTACTTAATGTCTCTTAAATCAGTCTTACATCACCCACATTTTTTCCCCACCCACCCCCTTAGGTCCATCTAAGACAGGCCAGCAAAGAAGAGAATAATGTAGACATGTATCTTCACTGAAGTACTGGAACATCAGAGATTGTTAGTGGCAAGTTACTCAGAAGCCTTTTTCTATTGTATTTATTGCCAATTCATTTTGTGTAGCTTATTTCCAGGAGATAGGCAGCACAAAACCAGTAATACCTATTTGAAAAAATACATTTTTCATTACAATGCAACAGTTTCAATAGTACCTTCTTACAGCTGCATCTCACCTAATTCAGAAATAAAACAATCCTGATTGAGGCTAATTAAAAAGTTAACCCTCAGAACAGTCAGCCTTTAGGAGTCAAACAACTTTGGACCCAAAGTTTATAATCATCATGATTGACAATTACCCCAGAAATTGCCATGTGCAAACTGTGCTACAGAAACTATTTTGTGCTGTCAGTCAGTCATCTCACAATTCCACCAGCATGTACTCCTACAGAAAGAATTGCTTCATCTTCCCTCACAGAACTTTGATGTGACCGTTGAGTGCTCTGGAGGTACCGATAACTACGGCATTTGCTTACTGAGCCTGCGCCAGAAATGAACACAACCCAACCTATTAACACTTAAAAGTTGCTTAGGTACAGAATATATTAAAACAGTAAAAATCCCAGAAATTTACACCAAGCTCTCCAAACCCATGCTCAAAGTTTCCCACCTAGTTCCAACTGCGCAATCTTGATTTTAATACCTGTTCTAAAAAGCTTACTAAAAACCAGACTGGTAAAGTCTTGTTTGTTTTCTAGAGTCCTGTATTTTTCCTTTGTCAGTAATTGTTGTGGAGGTTGTTTATTGTTTAGTTTTTAAACCCAGCTTTAAATCTAACAATATATATTGTCCTTATAACCCAGAGGTAGCAAGAGGGAATATGAATGAAAAGATGTCAGATTCTAGAAACTGGACATTCAACTCTAGTGTCATCCAAGAGAGCTTTCCTGGCTTTCATAGACTGCATGTCACCTCTAATCATGGATAGCAAATAAAGTGTAGAAACCCAAAATAAAGAGCTACTACCACTGGGTTACTAATAGAAATTTCATACCCAGACACCTCAAAGTAATCTTGTTATTTAAGTAGTAACATTCTGTTTTCAATAGTCAAATATCAAGAACTGAAGTATAAACTGAAAATTTATGAGTAATTTATGAGTATTACTTTTTAAAAATGCTCATTAGTGACACATTTCACCTAAACACAGACATACACACAGTTACTCTAAGTTGATGTACCACACTGTAAGGAAAAGTCCCAGTTCTGTTCAAGAATCTGATATTCCCCCTCTCCCCCCCACCACACAACTTGACAGAAGTGCTTACAGTAACAGAAAGCAAACAGAAGGGGAAAACACAACATTTAACAAGTGCACCTATTTACAATTTGCACCTTTCCCTCCTTGCATCTAAAGTGTACAGATCTCCACGTTTGCTATGCTGTACATCACATGTACTCTCTGCTCCATGGAATACCAGTTCTGTCCAAAGGATCTCTGCAAGCACCAACTGCAGTCATTCCACACCAACCAACAGGTGCTTTTACTGTGGAGGCTGAAGGACATTTAAATATTCTGACTGGCCCAGCTGGTAGGTTGTGTTTCCTCCACAGTCCACATACTGGTATCTCTCCTGGGATATTTGCTCAGGGTGGCCTAAGTATGAGGTTGTCACTGTCACTCTTAAAAAGACAGAAGAGAAGAGATTTTGAGTTTCCTATTCTAAAAATCACTGTGTTTATATTACTAGGGTTATTAAGGAAAAGGTTTTGGAACAAAACATGCTTTAAATACATTTAAGAACATTACTGATTTACCACTATAATTTTCTCCATGAAAGACATCTGGTTCCTTTTCCTAAAGATGCTAAAGCTGAGGTTTACTTGTAAAGTCTGCCACTACAAATAATATTTCTTGTTTGTGATAAGAAAGCAAATGATTAAACTACAAGCCATGCTACATCTACTGTAAAGACATGCCCCATTCCCTCACCAACGAAAGACCCCACCATTCTGAAATTTATGCAAAGTCACAAAAAAGCACTGTCACAAAGCAGTCTCTGACAGAGTACTAAAACCACAAACTCCTTCAAGATCAAAGTTCTCAGCAAGTTTTGAACCATGGTCGATACACAAAGTAATTTTAAAGTTTTTGAGACATCAGTAGCTCCATGGCTACAGCCCAGCTGCACAGCAGATACAGTAACAATGATTGTCAATCCAGTCTTTACACCACCAGAACCTGTCAAAAGACACAGTTCACTTTCTGTAACTATAAAGCAACTACACTAAAAAGCAAGCTGACTTAATTTTATCTATGATGCAAAGACTCTAGGATTAAGTATTTGAGTATTATTTTAATGAGAATTACATGGCTCCTGAAGTTGTTTCTCACACATAGGAAGACTACCATACTTACTGCATCATCACTACTATGTTATGTACTTTGATAGATGGTAAAGTACAGAAGTCACTGCAAAAAAGAAGAACAATTGTTAGATTTACATCAAACTTCTCCAGGGCAATTATCTGAAAAGCAAGACTTCTGGCTTCAACTGGAAATTCTGCTGTCTGTATACAGAGACTACAGAGTTGCTGGCAATGGCAACAGAATAATTTGCCAGTGACTGTATCACAATGACTCTACCTAGACCCACTGCTACATACACAGTCTTACTTTCACAAGTACTGTCTTCACATGTGTTTGCTTTCATGTAATGCTGAGGACACAACAGAAGTGTCCTCAGAAAGTGTTCATTCCATCTTCCAGAAGCTAACCAAGGTTAATCTGAGCCACTACATTTAAAGCCTGTCAGTGTCACTTTGCCACCTATTTTTTGAACTCATCCACTTCTACATTATGCAAAATAACCTTTAACCAACATACAGATATTCCAAAGTCAAGGTTATTGTTCCCTTGCAAGATAACCTTTGCAGACTTTCATTTTCTGACACATGCCTACATACCAGCCATAAAGAGCACCATGTAAGTGCACACTTTTAACCCCTGCTTCTTAAATCACTGGTCTTGTTCAAAAATTTATCAGCTCTAGAATGAAAAGTATGTGATCAGTGCAGTGAGACTACTTGGCAGCTACCTACAATATTTGCATTCCTATTTGCAGCCTTTGTCATTCTTTCCCCCTGAACCAACAAAAATAAAATATAAAGTGAGTGAACTCAGCTTATCCAAATTATAAGAAAATACAGCATTATCATGAGCTCTATGAAGGCTATTTATGAAGTTTATTTATTCCTCATGCATCCTAAGTGTGTGCAGATTCACAAGATTCAGTGTTTACATAAAGCTAACTTACACACTTTTAAAAGGTGACAGAGGTTCAATGTTTTCTGTTGATTTGAAGTTTGTGCCTCTCTTAGCATTTCACATCTATTTCATTTTATTTCAACAATTGAAAACAACAAGGTTTTCTCCCATCCCTAGGAGGCTGGCATCCACTAGAACTGCACAGAGACCTGAAGCCTCAATAGTTAACTCCTTCTGTTTAGTCTCGATTTCAGTGTAAAAGAACTAAAATTGAGGTTTGTGACCAAGAGATAATGAGGTTTTTCATTATCAGTGTTAGATTTCAGTGTAAGAGAACTAAAACTGGAGTTTGTGACCAAGAGATAATTTGTCTGATGGACAAATGAACTGTTAAAACCACTCAAAGGGCAGGCTGTAAACACTGCTTACTATATACACAACATGTGAAGACAAGCCTCTAATTTCTATACCACTGAATATAAATTTCCTTCTACTGCAGAGAAAGTCGTGGGAAAGTTACTAGAGAACTTGTTAGGGGAACACACCTGCACTTCCACCCCTAAAGCAGCAGTCCTAACTAGTGCCAACCCCTAAAATACTGTAACAGAGATACCATTTAAAGGGTATCTAGCCAGGTACAGCAAGCCACTATATGAAACTAATCAAGCAATTGTGGTTTACCTCTCTCATGAAACTAATCAAGCAATTGTGGTTTACCTCTCTCAGTACTACTAAACTTAAAGAAAATGCCCCAGCATCTCTTCAAACAGATTCCTGCTAACTTTGGAAAAAGTTGTTCTTAACAGCCCTGCAACTTTTAATAAGATCCATGTGATATTTACAAGTGAGTACACTTACTACATGTAGCTCATTTCATCTTGTATGACTGTGGGCACCATATAATCAATCTAAAAAAAAAAACCACAATAAAAAATCAATGAAAACACCACTAAGTAGATTTATATATGAAGATTAACACATGTTTAACTTGGAAAGCCTAAGCTACTTACCTGTTTCATATCCAGTGGACCAATGTTGGTGATGTTGTTTAACCGTGCTTTGCCAATAACTGTTTTTGAAAACTGAACTTGGGCTGTGATATTTGCCACTTCAACAGAGTAGTAGTTGTTATTTGTTATATTAAGTGTGTTCTGAAAAAACAAACACAAAACAGTAACACTTATCCATTCTGTGTATCTCCATGAGCAAGCATTTTGAATCTTGTCCATGAAACAGTAAGATCAGAAATTCTGCAAGTAGATTTTCCTGCCTGTGAGGACTGCAGACAGGAGTAGGGTCACCACCACTTCTGAGTTTCTTTAGTGATTATATTGAGTAACACAAACTTCTGCACAACTTTCGTGGTAACAACCCTCCACTTCAAATACTGCATTTCTTCCTATCCTCAATTGTTCCTTCCAGGAAATTTAGCTATTGAAGGACCTCTTTCTCGCATTGCAGCTTTGCTTTATTTAAAATTAAGAAATCATCCAAAGGTCTTTAGGCAAACCTGTATGAAGATCATTACGAAGAAATCAAGAACTATCTGGGAAGAGCTCCTTTAAGTTTTAAGGTGGATAAGAAAGTATTTTTCCTCAACACCAATTTTGACAGAGGCATAATACCAGAGCAGTAGCAAATAGCATTCCTACATACACACACTACATTTCAGACATATTCCAAAAGTAACACTGAGAACTCAAAAGTTACTGTTCCCTTGAAAACAGAATACAGTGTCAGCTTGCAACTACATCTCTATTAGCTACAGGAACCAGCCTCAGCAGGCTCAGTTACATTTTTCAAACTGGTCACCGACCTAATTCTTAAGGCACCAACTAAGCCTTTCAGCCAGACCACAGTTTCTACCTACACTAAACTCTCAAAGCAGTATCTCCTGTTGCAGTCATGCATTCCAAACACCCAAGAAGTCAGACCTACCGTAATATTGAGATAGATTATCCGCCTTTCCTGTTCGTAAGTGACATATACTGACTTCACACCAATGTACTGAACATCAATCGAGCGAGGAAACAAGAAAAATACAGCCAGCCCAGAGAGTAGCAAACACACAGTTACAGAAGCAGTCACATAGAGCTTTCTGGAAGAAAAAAAAAAGCACAATTCAGAGTCAAAAGCACATTAAAAAACAATGACATGCTATTTTAAGTGATAAGGAGCAGGACTAGTGAATACAATTAATTCAGTCTATTTCTAGCCTCCACTAGCTTCTAAAAAGGAAAAAAAACCCTATGCTGCACTTCACAGCTATGTCTTAAACTGCTGTTACTCCTGCATAAATATCAGAAACCACATTTCAAATCATGCGGTTACCCCAACATTAGTAACTTCCAAACGAAAACAGAAGAAGTAAATATTTATGTGCTTGAAACAAATCCACTTCCTCTTAACATTTATTTATAGCACAACTTCCATCGTTTTGCGGAAGTCTCACAAAAACCACCCAGAACACAAAATAAAGCTCTTATGACAGACAATCCTGACTTCCAGGGAAAGTGTTAGGACTTCAGCTAAGGAGCAGGAAATTCACAATTAAGCTAACAGAAAAGAGTGTGTTTGTGTGGGTGTGGTTCTGTGTTTGTGTGCATATGAGGGTGGGGTGCTAGTAGTGGTGTGAGAGATAATAAAAATCCCTCCACAAATAAAAGGATCTACTTCAGCTCCAATTTTGTCAAGATTTGAACACTAAAGTAATGTTTCATATCTGTACTACCATTACATCAGTTATATTATCCAGAATAGTATTATGTGAAGCTAATATATTTCTTTTTACCTGGCACTCATTTCTGTTTACTACAAAAATATCAAAACATTAAAAAAAAAAAAGTAAAAACTAAAACAAGAAGCCCCGAGGATTGCAGTGAACCCCCCGAAGTAGATCCTAGAAAAAAAATGCTATTATGCTATGCTAACATTAAATATAATTATGTATCATAAATTGTTGACTTTTCTAGCTGCAAAAACCAGAATGTTACTAATTATTTTAAGGTGACCTATTTTGTAGTAGTGGCTCAAAGATGCTACAAATTAACTCCAACTCCAACAGAGAAGATGTGCCTGCTTAGATCAATTAGGATGTTACGGAGATTAAGACCTGCTCACATCATTACTATAAATAGGTCATACAGTACTCCTTAGCTTTGTCCTTAGCTAAGATGTATTGTGATGGAAGTATGCAGACCTGTTAATAAATAACTCACCCAGAGTTAGAGGTTAAGGCTGATATTACCCACAAGCCCTGTTCTTCCCATAATGAATGCAAGAAAGCATTACAATGATTTTTTGCTCAATTCTTCTTATTGCTATCCCCTTAGAATTGTTGAACTTTAACTAGAAGAGAATAATTAACTGTAGATTCAGGTATCACAAACAGCTATTGACTTACGTTCTTCTTGGCCTCAGTCTCTGATCACTGTATGGAATTAAGGCTACCAGCTGATTTTCCTGCCCTGGAAACAAAAACACCCTTTCAGAATTTAAACAAAGAATAAATGTTGTTGCAGCAAGAGTAACCATTACAACTTAGTGGCACCAAAGAATAAACACTAAAGATAAACATTTAAATTCCAGATAAGGACCCAGGTCGAATGCTACTGTAGCTGATGTCACTTTCTGAAATAGAGCATGGCTTATGCAACATGAAGATGAAAAAACACCAAGTCCACAAGGACCAAAACAGCAATAAATTCTGCCTCTGTGCTGCACACATGACCAGAGGCAGTATTTCCTCTGGCACCACTTCCTGGAGAAAAAGAGATGCAGAACAGCTCTGAGCTATTTATGCCAGACCATATGAACTCATGGGACAAAACATTCAGAAGCTTGGGCAGTAAGAACTGATCCAGAAGGCATTCTGCATGTACTCTTCTGAAAAAGCAGAGGTCAGGTTTGGTTTAAAAAGCAAACAACAAGCCCAAACAACAAGCCCAAACTGAAACAACCAAAGCTAACAATAAAGGTGATCTGGGCAACACAAGCTATGCATATATGGCATTCTGAAAATCAGAAGTATATAAAACCATATTTATCATGGTGCTGCTGAGCTGTAGCACCCTGGAAGTCAAATAAGTATCTACTGGAATTTCTCCATGAAAGTTATGTCACTGGACAGCATTTTTATAGGGTTGATTTTTTAACAGCAGAAGTAAAGAGCACATGCACAGATGAGTAGTTGAAAATATGTGTACTACATCTGCCAGTAGAGCTTTTGTTATTTGTTGTGGAACTGTATGAGAACAGAGGCCTCAAGGCCAAGTCAAATCTGCAATTTTTAAGCCAAGTGCAGAATTTGATCAAATCATCACTTAGCTAACCAAGCACTTGGCAATGATTCCATGCTGAATCACTAAGCTAAGCAAAACATGCTAACCAAGCATACAGTAGTATGCAAAACATCAACATTCTAAAAAGCCTCTACCAATTTAAAACACATTTTCATCTCTACTTCAATGAAGCATCTTCAGCCTTTAAGAAAATATCACAGTACTCCTTTCATACATCATACTAAAAACTAAAGCTGTTCAAGTAACAAAACATAATTTAATGGATTTATTATAGTTTAGCCATCATATCATGAATTAATTATAGTCTTACTAGTCATGCTGTCATTCTTAATTTTTCCCCTCTCTCCTCAAATGACCCCAAAACATGACATTTTTTCTTCTCTAAAATACTAAGGAATGATTACAAACACAATCCTCTAAGCTCTAATAACTCATTTTAAGTTCAACCACATTATTTCATTAGAATTTATACACAACATGCATGTTTTTATAGTTACTGCAAAATCTTTAATAAAATAACTAACTAACATTTATTTAAGTATTACATCCAAGGATTCTACAGTGAAAATAAGAAGCTTTTGAACATGGAAATTCTGCTGTTTCCGCACTTTGAGTAAAACGTGCTATTGATATTAACAAGTATTTCAAGTTAATGAGTTAACGGAACAAACTTTTTTACCCTTTCTGGCTAAGGCAATTTTTAGTTTCATAGCTTTTCTAGGTGTGAAATTTGATGAATTCAGAGGTACTCCAAGAATACGTTGTAGTAGAAAGTTTAACAGCTAAAACACAAATCTCTTGTGGTATTTGCAACCACTGAAATATTCTGTGCTCCCTGGTCCTTCTACAAAGGTGAGATGCAAGTGTTTGTGAGCTGTGTCATAACCTAATCTCACTGAAGCACACGTAGAAGGACAACATGGCACAGACATCACTCAAGTTTCTTGAGCTGCTGCTCAAAATCAGTTCCAAGAGCTTTTACACCCAATAATCTATTTTGGGTAAGAGGTCTGGCAAAGGCCAACTCTAACATGAAATCATGTCATCAGCTCTTCCCCAGTCAAAGGGAAAATCTCACAGCTGAAGCAAAATGCTGTGCCTTGGCCCACTTGGCCCTCCTTCTGCCTGGTTTCAGATATCCCACGTTCTCCTTTCTCTCTTCATAAATATTGAGGGAGCTTATAATTTAGGACAGAAGCATAACAAAGCAGCATGTTTTACCAAGAGAAAAAGTAAAGGATGACAGCAAAGCAAATAAAACAGTTAGGTATGGAGACTAATGCTGTGCAGCCTACTCCTTCCTGAGGCAGCCAAAGAACCTATATATTTTCAAATCCAAGCTGGAGTTATCCACCTAGCGAGCACCACTGGGACAAAAGCAGGATAAAGGAAAACAAGGGACACTGGCAGCAATGAGGGCAAAAGAATTAACTATAAATCAGGGAAGAGGTGTTGCAGCCCAGGTCTACTTTTCCATCTCTGTATTTGCAGCCATTTTTGCAGTTATATATTGATTCAAAAAGTTTAAAATAGGTAGTGAAAAGAAAAAAATGCAATAAAATGTCATGAAACTAAAGGTTTGCTAATTTAACTTGCAAGACCTATGGTTATGGGTGGATTCAAAGCTGAGGAGGAAGAAACAGTTGCATTGTTTCTTCCTCCTCAGAACGGACAAGAAGAGATCCAAGTTGTAACAGCCAAGGTGCGACAGCCGACCCAATTTGTTACACTCATCTAGTGCAACAAAACACTTAGTGCTGAAAACAAAGTCAAAAAGATGAGAAAACTTCATCTTGACTTGAAAAGCTATTTGTTATGCATTATTACAAATGCATATGGTTATGATGTAAATTTATAGGTTAAAAAAAGAAATAAAATAATAAACAAGGAAACTTACCTCGTGGAATTCTTCCTGTTCCCTGGCAGGTTGGGCAGGTGACACTGTCCCTTCCTGTAAATTCCACATAGGGAAACTGCGACACATCTCCACATCTGCTGTCCTCATTGTGCACTTCCGAGTGAACTAAACCATTCCTCACGTTATCAGACACTGAGCTTCCATCATAGCCATCTTCCTTGCATGTATGCATAGGCAGGTGAGAAAGTGATTTTCCCATGTCTGAAAAGAAGTCAGAAGGATGCTTTCAGGGACAGTGACTCAAACACAGCTTGCATTTATTCCTCTGCACCAGGTAACTGTTAGTGTGTGGGCACAGTCTGACAAGGCTCAGCTCCCCTTTGTTCAGACTCCTTAGGATCCACAAAGCACTAAGGCCTGGTCAAGCTGGAGTCAATCCCAAACTGTAAAGAACCTGAATTAACTGCTTTGTTCAGATTCCCCAATATGCACATGTTGGAACCTGATCTATGAGAGGCACTGTTAAATTTAGAACAGTACAACTGGAGGGAAAAGTTGCAACAGCTTTTCAAAGGATTGCTACTGTACAGGCTTTAACAAAACACACTAATCTTTGTGTTATAAAAAACAAACAAACAAAAAAAATCAACACTGGGCCACAGAAATCAATTTGCAATTTTGAGTAAATTCACACACATGACAGACCAAATTTCAGTAAATTTTTCAGCCTGGACTTGTTTTGAGAACATAGGATTGGCTGTTAGTTTCCAAGCTAGAAATATAGATCACCTGATATTTAAACTGATGATTCCCTTTATTTCAAAAGAGGACTAGTTCCCAGGGAAGTCAAGTGAAAAATGGGAGTTACTTAAACATAGCAGCTGCCAATATATAGCATTTATACAGACTTGTTTAAAAAAAGAGTATCACTCACAAAAACATTTTTGTTACCTGTATTTTAATTTTTTCTCATTACTGTACCTTTTCAGCCATGACACTGAAAATATTTTGAAACACAGAACATTTGAAACTAAAGTCTGTAAAAAAGTGCAGTAAGCAGAAACACCCCAGTTAGCAAGATGGGGGGAAAAAGCTCCGAGAGAAAAAAAATAAACCTCTACAGCAATGGCACTTAGTTGTTCCGCTGATCCACAAAACCCATTTTGGTTACTTAACACACAGAGACAGCAATCACTCCATCAGATTTTTGATTAAAATTGACTGACTAATCAATTGATCAATCAATTGATTAAAAAAGAATATGCAAAGCTTCACTGTTTGTTTTGTTTTTTGTCCATTAAGAAGTATTTTTAGAGTGGCAGCTAGGAATTATCACGCTCATTCACTAAAAAGAAACCCTAGAAGGAAGATGAAAAGAGGAAGATAAGTCAGAATGTTTTAAACCAACTACTCAACACAGAACAGAAATACCTCAATACTAATGGCAATGCAAACACAACATTAATTCATTACATTGCCACAAAGCCTAGGTGAATGTGGGAGAAGGAAAGTAAGTCAACAAATGCCAACTAGTCCCAGTTACTGCCCCAGCGAATATGCAGGATTAAGAAGTATTTTTGTCCATTAAGAAGTATTTTTAGAGTGGCAGCTAGGAATTATCACACTCATTCACTAAAAAGAAACCCTAGAAGGAAGATGAAAAGAGGAAGATAAGTCAGAATATTTTAAACCAACTACTCAACACAGAACAGAAATACCTCAATACTAATGGCAATGCAAACACAACATTAATTCATTACATTGCCACAAAGCCTAGGTGAATGTGGGAGAAGGAAAGTAAGTCAACAAATGCCAACTAGTCCCAGTTACTGCCCCAGCGAATATGCAGGATTACTTTTTTCACTTATGTCATTAAACCCTTACAAGCAGGAAAGCTATTCACCCTTCTGCTGCTACAGCACTTTTTAAATACTCTAAGTTTAGGAGCCATTCAATAATGGAAATTGTTGAACTGAAAATTAAAACTACTGAGCTATTGAAAAAAAATCCCGAAAAAGCTGTCGACACTGTTGACAATTATTTCACATGGGGTTTTTGTTTACTTTTCTGCTTGCAGCTGACCTACAGCCTTCAAGCTACGGAACTTGAGTCCTGCAGCTTAGGCAATAGCTGTCACAATTACAGATCTGAAAGCTCAGGGATCATGCTGTTCTGCCACCACTTCATCCAACACCAACGGACAACTGAAATGCACCTTCTAGTTTTAGCTTCTTCCAGAAGGAAAAGCTCACACACTCCCTGATCACACTGTGACATGAACCAAAGTGCAGCAGGCAAGGATGACTGGGAACTCCTTTCAAAAGCACATCCTTTATTTGAATTAAAGTGCTAAAGCAGGTGCATCCTTCAATGCCAACTGTACCGGAGCTTCAATAATTGAATTTAATGGTGCCAGAGACCAGGGAAAAACATCTCAGTTCACAAACAGGAAAACACAGAACCATCTTCAAGCAAAATTAGATTCACCAACATGCTCTTTCCCCTAGCCAAGCCTGAACCTTATTACAGTTGACCACAAATCAAAAACATGTTGATCCAGCACTCAGAGGCTAAACAGTAGTAACTCTGACAATATAACATCCCTGTATGTCACAGCTTCCATGCTGCTACCAAAGTCAGAAATCCTGCTTCATGAACAGCTCTGCTTTGGTGCAGTCTCCCTTGCAACTGATGTTAGAATCCCCTTGAACTTAGCTGGGATTTCCGTGAATTCACAGTTTGTTAAAACGGGTTCGGTAAATTAAAAATGTGACAAGTGGCTTTTCTTTACGACCGCACCCTTCAACTTGCTGTGCACTGCAGCACAACAGCAGGTGGACAAAACGCAAACAGCGTCACAAGACAGACTGAACCGCCACATCCTGAGCTACACGCAAGACCAGAGGAAACAACTTTGTTTGTAAATTCAGTGAAACTTCATAGAGTCAAACGAAATTGTTATACTTCTCCAGCAAGTTAGGCTGATGTTCTTACCCTTTATATGCAAACATATAAACTTGAGATTACAAACCTACTTCTTTTTTCAATACAGCAAAAGATTTCGAATCGCAACCACCGTCTGCCTCATCAGCTGCGCCTTAACCGCGAGCATCAGCAGCTCCTGCGAGGCAGAGGACGCGGCAGGGCAAGGCAGTGACTTGGCAGCCACAGGCTTGGCCAGCTCGGCTGGGCACGACCAGCGCTGCCTTTCCCGACCCCGCTACAGAGCCGCGTCTCGGACACCGCCTGAGCGGTAAGGTGGGCGCTGCCAAAATAAAGCACTCAAAAATCCTGGGGTTAAACGATTTTCTCGTCCATCAGCGCTAGCTGCCCTTACAAACATGGCGAAGTTTACAGCCGGCAGGCTTGGACCAAGGCCCGGCGAGCTCGGCTGCTGCTGGCCTGCCCGGCCAGCCCCCAGTCCCCGCTCGGCCTGGGGTGGTCTCGGCGCAGGAGCCGTCCCGGCGCAGGGGCACGGCAGGGCAAGGGACAAGGCCAGACAAGGCCAGGCAAGGCCGGGCAAGGCCGGGCCAGGCCCCCGGCCCCCCCCGGGCCTGCCCAGGCCCCGCCGAGGCCCAGGAGCGGCCGCAGCGCCCCCCGCCCGGCGCGCAGCCCCGCAGCCCCCGCCCGCCCGCCCGCCGTGGAGCGCCCTCCGGTCCCACCTGCTGCGCGGCTCCGCGGGCCGGGCCGGGCCGGGCACGGCACAGAGGCAGAACCGGAGGCTCCGGGAGCGACGCAGCTGCCGGCACCGAGCCCCGGATCGGGCGTGTGCGCAGCCGCGGGGCGGAGCCGGAGTCGTCCCGTCCCGCCCGGCCACGGGCGGAGCCGGCTGCGCTCCTGACCGTGCCGGAGAACAGGTGGCCCAAGGCTCGGGAATGGTGCCTAAATCGCCGTCCCGAGGGCTGCAGGGCGATCCCGTATCCGGGAGTGGGATCAAGGGTCGTGGAAATGGGAATAGGGAAATGGGAAAATGCCGTTTTGCGGCAGAGGGTCTAAAGGAGACAGAGCGGGATCCCATCCGGGGTTTCCCTGGTTCCCGGGGTTCAGAATCCTATTAACAGAATCATCTAGATTGGAAAAGGTTGTCGAGTCCAACCTATGACCGAACCACCGTGTGAACTAGAACACGGCACCAAGGGTCACATCCAATCTTTCCCTAAACACCTCCAGAGACAGTAACTCCAGTACCTTCCAGGCCAGTCCATCCCATCCCAGTGCCCAATCACCCATCCTGTGAAGAAATTCTTCCTAATGTGCAGCCTGACCCCCGGTCAGGTTAAACCCATGCTCTCTCGTCCTGTTGCTAGTTTGCCGTGCTGTCTGCAGCTATGAGCACCCCTCCTTCTGTCCTCAGCTTCATGGTACCTTGTGAGGCACCATCGCTATTTTCTGGGTCCTCTTTGGTAGCTCTGGTGGACGTTCCTCGCTCCCTTGTGCTCCGGGGGAAAGGAGCTCCTCATGAGAGCAAAGCGGCGGCAGGGCAGCAAAAAGAGGTGCCCGAAACGAGCGCAGTTTGTACATTATACAATGTTGCACGTTATACAATGTTGCTTGTACAGCCGATGTTTATCCAGGACTCAGGAATGCCATGTTCTCCCAACCATTTGCCAGGGCAAGATGAAGTGCGTTGGAAATAAGTTGTGACGGCTTCTCTCCATGGGTCTGCCTCTTGTTCACGAAAACCATTACCTGCTGTCCTTGGAAATGCTCTAGAGGACTCCGTGGGGATGTGTGAGCACCAAGGAGATGAGATCTGTGCACAGGGGACACAGCTCAGAAGGAAAGCAGGAAGAAGTTCTGCCTGGTTTGGGAGCCTCGACCCAGCTGCAGGAATGAATCAGGCTGGAGGTAATTCTGTGATTCACACCACGTATTGCAGTGCAAGGACAAGCACAAGGTCAGGGTTCAAGGAAGAGAATGAGACAGAGAAGTTCTTATGACTCTTGGGGTGATCATGAGGCTGGGGCAGGGTGCCAGGCTGCTCCAGAGGCTGGGAGGACACAGGCTGCCTCCAGCAGCCACCCAGAGCAGGTGCAGCTCTGATGCCATCTGCAGCACAGCCATGCCTGTAGTGTGCACAGCACTGGGTAGTGGGACCAGCATATGATCAGCACAGAAAAGAAATTTTTCCCAACCAAGCATGTGCTTAGAGAAAAAAATCTTCATTTATTTTTAACCAGGCTAATGCCAGCCCATTTATTCTCTTTATCCTTGGAACTTCTTGTTTTCTGTGAGTTTTAGAAGTCTTGGCTTGCAGAAGTCTCTAGCTTTCATCATCCAGTTCAAGTAATGGTGAGTCCTGCATCGCAGCTGGCTTGGCTCCACTTATCTAGCCAGGCACGGTCAAGCTCCTGGCAGTATTGGCAAAAGCTGGCATGTCCTTCTGGTAAATCTCTACCTGAATATTTGGCCCATCGCTGTTCAAGGTTCCTGAGATACCCATTGTAAAGCAATATTGACCATGGTATTTTGTGAGTTCTTAACTACAAAACAATATGTGTCAGATACCTTGAACAGGTGCCTGGCATGCTCAGGATCAATATGGAGCTTGTATCTCACTTTAAAACATCAGCAAATCCCAAATTTGGAAGGCTCAGGTCTAGCTAGTAATTTCACTGGCTATTAGCTTTTGGATCTGGCTCAACTGTGCATTGATCCAGGGAGCACAATTTCAACTGTACAAACAGAAAGTAAGAGCACCAAGTCTTTGCGTTTCACATTGTTTTAAATAGTAGTGGCAGCCAATCACATTGACCTGAATCATCACACAACAGGGGATGTGCCAGAAAAGGTCAAGAAAAAAGGTTTTTGGAGTAGCTTTGGGAGATCCCACTGAGATCTGGCAACTAAATTCTCTCAATTTTTCAAGAGAAATGTTACTGGTAAATTGTAATTAGCAGGGAGATTTTTTTATCAAATTAGAATTTTGCACCTTAAATTGCAGTAGTTTTTATCCAATGCTTCCAGCTCTCAAACTTACTTATAAGGCCCCATGCAGACAAGAATACTATAAGACTGCTGGACAGAGTTTTTTCCCCTGCCATGATAGAAGCAATAGTTGAAATCAGTAAGAGGCTTAGAGACAGTTGTCCATTACTGTAGTAAATAAACATGTTTCTGGTTAAACACTTACTACTTGGTAGAGCCCTTCCTCCATAGCTTTGACACAAACAGAATGGTTTGGGGTTTTTATCTCTTTACAGCTGTCATGATGAAAGGGAACATATCTCTGAGTCTGTTTGCTTTGTGTTATTTTCACTTTGAAAGTACATGTTAAAGATAGCATTGTAGAAAGAGAAATGGAAGTATGGTAAGGATCAAGCTTAGCCATAAATCCTCAAGGTCACCTTGAATATAATTTGTTTGGTATAGGCTAAAAACATTCAAGGAAAACAAAATAAACAATAATATAAAGGTGAAGTGTCACACTGACTGAATAGTCTTGGGAAAAAAAAAAGCAAAATATACAGTAAGAAGATGTAAAACTTAGAAGCAATGCTTAAATATGCTATTTAAACGTAAATAAGATATTTAAGCTTAAATATATTATTTAACTTAAAATGTTACTGAAATGAGACCGAAGTTGGAATAATCAAGACAGGGTTCCTGTGATTATGAAAGAGTATTTTACAGTAAAGAGATACAGAATGTACAACATCTAATATTGCATGAACTGAATAAATTATATCTAGATGAGAATTGCATGCTTAAACAGAAACACAGCAATTAATCAGTTCAAAATACATAGTAGAGGGGTGGCATGCAATACTGGTGCTAGTAGGAAGGGTATGAAACAGAAATACTCAGATGGCAGAAGGAGAGAAGCTGGAATCATCACCTTTGGACTGAGTTATGGGACAGCTGCAAGTAATATGAGCTCTTAGCTCTTCTCATAGATCACTAAAGAAGTGCAGTTTATACTTCTGATAGTACATCAGTAAAGAAATCCAAGCAATGAATCTGCTTTCAAGTTGAGTTTTGTGGCTGGGATATGATAAGTGAGTCAAGGCCTTGAAAGGTCTGGAGTTAGCAATCCATAAAGAAGCTGATTGCACCAGTGTGCAGCCTCCCAGGTCCTGTGAGCAAGAGACTTAGACCCTTGAAATACCAGTGAAGAATTATATTTACTTCTAATTTTCTCCTAAGATGAATTGCAATCGACTAACATTGGTTATCTGAAAAAACTTCAGGCTGTCCACACTTATTTCATCCTTTAGGAATATAAGCTACTAATTCTGTGAATATTGAAGGTAATGAAGCCTGTTTTTCTGCAGAGTTTCTTCCTGGTTGGCTATTATTTCCCTAAATTATATTTTCTATTATGACTACATATACCTAACATCTTCTACTGCAGAGCATTTTGACAGCAAAGAGCAGTTGCCATGCTCAGAAGTGGAAATTTGTAGAAATTTGCTGGCTGGATAGAAAGTTATTTAATGTTGGGTCCTAAATGTTCAGTTCCTTGTGTCTCCTGTCTGGTTATCTATTTCTATGAAATTTCTGGGAACGATATTATCTCTCAAACTCCACTGAAGCTGGGTGATGCTTTCAAGGTTGGAACTTGGGACAGAGAGAGACAGAGATTGCATAAACCTTGTTTTCATGTAGCCTAGCAAGCTAGAATTGGATGACATCCTGTCTGAATGCTGAGCTGGGAACAGAACCCTTTTTTTATCTGCAAGCAATCTCCAAGTCCAGAAAAACAAACAAACAAACAAACAACAAAACAAACAAACAAAAGAATATGAAAACTGTAATCCCCATCTCATATAACGTATTAAGAATGGGGGATTGTGTCTGTCTGTTGATAGTGGTAGAGAAGATTCTTATGAGTTCCTGTAATTACTTTAGGTTCATCATGACTTCACTGGGAGTTTTGTAAATAAGGAAAAGCAGGCTTTGCAGAACTGTTACAGTTGTTTGTGTGGATTGGGTTCCTCCTCCACCTTAAGTAGTCCAGGGAATACTTATCCTGCCATGTTGTAAAGATCATGTTTTTTTCTAAATTTCTCTCTATTTAATGAGGACACCTGAAAGAAAATGTTTGTTCCCTATATTACAGTTTTCTTAGTAAGAAATTTTGGAAAAGAGATACAAGTTAACCAGACAAAAATAAGAAACCTAATTTTTAGTGAATTTACCCTTTATTCCTGTTTTTTTTTTTTGCAAGTTACCCTAGTCCCA